TATCTTCGATCAAAGTTTTGGTATAAATATCGGCACAGTTATTATTAAGTAATATAGGCATTTTAAAATTTTTAAAAACTTTGATCGAAGTTATCTTGGCAACCACTTGACCAAAATCGATAATTTTTTTTTTTATTTGATTTCTACAGATCTGTAGAATTTAAATAAAAAAAAATTCATTGATTTTGGTCAAGTAGTTGCCGAGATATCTTCGATCAAAGTTTTAAAAGTTTGTAAATAATACTGTGACAAAATCGAAGGGATCTTCATGTAAACATGGTGCGAATAGCAAAAATTCATAATGCGAATAGCAGTTCCCTATATATATTATGCATATATTCTTGAATCTGATTGGTCAATTAGCTATTTTGTGTAACATAATCAGGATTCTAACCATGTATTTATAGTATAAATTACATAATAAATGACACACCTTTAAGTAGTTTTATATATAAAATTTTGAGTTATTTGCTATTTTTTAAAGTTTTTTTAAAAACATGATTTTTATATTACACCTAATCTTAAAATCTAATTAGTCAATTTATGTCAATTAGTGAAAATCTATTAGTGCTACTGAGGTAGTTAGTTGAGGCATGTCTCTGTGCTATATAGCATGTCTTTTATTTAAAAAATTACTAACTATAACTTTTCGACAATCTTATATTAGTTGATTATCTATACTTCTAATTATATTCAATACTACTAGTCAATTAGATATCAAAAAATTACATAATATAGATATTTCATGCCTTAATCTAATTTATTTAATAATGTACTGGTTTCTAGTCTTTATTAAAGATTAGATCCAAGCACTATATTTCTACTATGAGTACTTACTAATGATACAAATATTTCTCAGAATAGTAACTATATATAGCATTATAGCTATGATGTGAAGGTCATACTATAATTATAAAAATAATTATTATAGAATAGTATTTGTAATCTTTAGCCAATCATATTTGATCTTGATATTATATAATTAAATCATGCCTATTGACTTTTTAGCATGCTCCTAGGCATGTCCATGCCCTCTGTGCCTTGTATCCTAGTTATATCTGATCTTAAAATTTGATTGGATTTATTGGATACGATTACAGTAACTGCGGTTACAAATTTATTAACTCTTATATATATAGGGGGAGTTAATAAAATCCAGACAAATTGTTTTTAGTAAGTTTTTTTTAAACTTTAAATTAAAATATCTTAACAACTATTAAACTAAACTTGATAAAATTTTTTTATTTTAATTCTATAACTAAATAGAATTAAAATAAAAAAAATTTTATCAAGTTTGATTTAATAGTTGTTGAGATATTTTAATTTAAAGTCTAAAAAAAATTTACCTAGAAACAATTTGCCTGGATTCTATTGACTTCCCCCCATATATATTTACTTTTTATATATTAAGTTAAATAGTATAATCAACTATCCAAAATTACTATATTATAATTTTGCAATAATAACACTTTGAGTAGTTTACTATCTTACAATATAATCATAATTTTGTTTAAACCAAACTATAAATTAATTTATAAAAAAAAACTTTCATATACTGTAAACACAACTTCTTTATAAGCCCATTTTTTTAAAAAAAATTACTACTATATCAAACTATGTAATTGTATAAAAAACAACTATATTTATAAAATAAAGTTTGGTTTAAAAATTAGATTTTTTTGATACTTGATTCTAAATAACGTTTAATAGGTTTTTTAATATTTTACAAAAGTTTTGCAGTTGCAAACTTTATAGTTATTAATTTTTTTATAAATGATAGTGTTCATAATTACGATTATAAAGCTGGCTAATGAGTTTATGTTGAGCTAACACAAATCTCAGGCTTATGATAAATTGGCCAGCTTTATAATATAATTGCAATCAGTTTATAAAAAAATTAATAATCATATGGGTCACACAATTTTGCAAAGCGCAATAATTTGAATTAAATTTACTTTTCATTAAGAGAATTATATCAATGTGTTTAACGTTCGCTAAACTCAAAAATCAATTACAAATACAGGATATAGTAACAATCATTAGTAACTTGACAAGAAAACATTAATAAATTTGTAATTTAAGAAGTAACAGTAAACAAAAACAGCAAGTTTAACGCACTATCAAATTTCGCGTAAGGTAAATAATTCCAAAAAAGTAAAACATTCACTGCTTGTACGTAAAAATAAAAAAAGTGTCGTATAAATAAAAACCTAATAAAATTGACTCGAAATCGAAGATTTAGTTAAAAGGTAAGGGTCGTTGAAGATAAATGTACTAGACAAAATTTATAAACATAAAACTCGAACTTTTTATAATAAAGTAATTATTTGGTGTTAGCATATTAATAACAATAAATATAAATGCTAATGATAAAATTAATAATAAATTCGAATATTAATAATTTACATTAATATAAATGTAATCAAACGTTACAAAGTAACCAACAGTGTGAATTAAAAGTAAATTTATTTATTTTATTTGTAACATATTTGTACAGCATCCCCTGGATCGCGTTAATTTAATTTTAACATTTTGACAATGAATTTATTTATTCACTAAATCAATGAAATATAATCATGTAAGAATTATATTATATGTAGAACTCTTTTTATGTACGCCTTAAATGGTGAAATGAATGAAAAATTCGAAAGATAGGTTGAAGCACCAATGTTTAGAGAAAGCATGATATTATCGATTTCGTCATAATAAAAAAAAAATGTTGGGCTTATTGATGATTCACACGAAATCAATAACAAGGTTTCTTGTCCTCTATTAATAGACAATCCAAAGGATTGTATAATTAATTGGGATCTGGATCGTGTTGGAATAAATCCTTAGCCCCGGATAAAACGGCTGATTACTAGACCAAATATGGATATATAACCATTTAATAGTAACCTTTCGTGGTTTTATGAAATGAAAAAAAGTTCGATAGTATTGTAATAAAATCAAAAAATAGTAAGAATAGTAAAAAAAAAAAAAAAAAAAAAAGGAAAAAAAGAAAAAGCAAACATATACAAAAAGTAATAGAGATAGTTATTAAAGCATTTATATAGTAAGAAATAATAAATATATATATATATGTAGTAAGGAATAGTACTGAAATAAACCTTGAAGCTATTATCCTAAATTTAGGTTGGCATCTTAAACGTTTTAATACATATAATGTTTCGGCCGTAGAGCCATATGCACTATAATTGAAGCACGGATTGGACACCAAGGGAGTAGTCACGATTTGAAGGATTTTGCACGCGGTCAGACAATAAAATCATTTAACCATATTCTACAATAACTTGACAAAATTTGGCACAATACAAGATTTGAGTTCATTAATTTATCATAAATATTTATTTCAAAATAAACCTTGCTAAAAATTGGTAACAATAATAAGTCGGAAGTAACGATATAGCGAAAAATTCAAACAATAATAATAACTTTGATAATTTGAAAAATCTGACTAAATGCATACTAACAACCAAAGTAGTCTTAGTCATCCTCAGGATAGTCATCAGGATAGTCATCTCGGGATAGTCTTAATATTAAAATGTGAAACGATCACTGAATCAGGCGTTATTGGATGAAAATCGTCCAATCGTATTTTATCAATTTTCCTCATTGGATTTAAACATAGTTCGATCTTAGGTGACACTGTTCCATAAAAAGATAACAAACCGATCTAGTTAAAGTTTCGCGGGTTTTCCTCTCAAAAAAAAAAAAAAAAAAGAGACATCGAACATATAATATAAAGTAGTGTCAATGCTTGTGTATTTTTTAAGTAAGCTTACTTAAGTTCGACCGTTCGTCTAACTGCATGTATGCACACTAAGGTAACACGAATTGATCTAAACCTTGTTTGTAGTACGTTCTTTGAAAATCTTTCTATTTCTCTATTATTAATATATAACGAAATGTAACACACAAGTTGCACTTATGTTACGTAAACAAAAACTTTGTCCAGGCATGCTCTTCTAATTGATGTATTATTAGCATTTACTATAATAATATTCTCGTCATCAATATTATCAATATTCATCATTTACTGGTTGGTCCATATCATTCCATTAAAAACGATAATGTAAATTCGTTTAATGAAGCACTGACCCCACGTATGTACGTTATCGATTCAGATCTTGATCTGCATTGGATCGGCTCTCCAACCCTTTTTTTCGGTGTGGTCCGACTTCAGAATTGATCTACTTTTTTTTCTCTTCTTTCGCTTTCGCGCTTGAATGACTTTATGTCTTCGTTTCATTCGGATTATCTTTGAGATCATTTTTTAATGTTGGTTGCATGTACTATGTTTATATATAACGTGGATTTTCCTTGTTCGTTTTATGGTTGTTGTGCATGTTGTTTTTCTTGTGTAAATATTCGTGTAAATGTTTGTAGTAAATATTAATGTAAATATTAGTATAAGTATTAGCGTTAGTGTAAGTATTATAGTTAGATAACTCTCATATACTCTTAGATTATTATGTACCGGTACCCGTTCGAAAAGAAGCTGCAACTTGAAAATCTATTATGGAAATAATATAATATATATATTTGAACTCATTGATTTGCATACATAAAAAATATATCTACCTACGTACTGTACGTACGTACTTAAATATCTACGTATGTACTGTACCTTCTTCGTGTCACTTCCGATTTTGTACGACTTTTTTTAGGCAAATGTACTATCAGCTATATAAAAATTGGTGAATATATAACTAAAAACTGCTTTAGCAAATTTGTCAGTCCTTCTTTTTTCTTTTTTTTTTTTCTTTCTTTAACTACATTGTAATACCTTCCCCTTAAAACCTCCATTTTGCAAATATCTTAATAATTTAACTTACTCTATCTTTTTCATGTCTACCTTTTTTGCTACGAATTTATTTTTAAAAAAGTCATTTAGTATTTATATATTTTTGGTTGCCTGCAACTTATCCCTCCTCCCGTAATCTCGCTGCCGTTTATTTCTAAAATAAGTCTATATTTGTAAATTAAAAAAAAAAAAAATGTCATCGATCCTGTTTGTGAAAGCATTATATGACTTTAACTCTACAGATAGCTCGAGCCTTTCCTTTAAAAAAAATGATATAATACAAGTTCTTACGCAGCTAGAATCTGGTTGGTGGGACGGTCTATGCAACGGTGAACGTGGATGGTTTCCTAGCAATTATGTTACTAATTTAGATGACGAGGATGATATATCGGATGACGATAAGGTATTGGCTATAAATTATTATAAATTGTCATGGTCTCTTGACTGTCTCTTCTGTTGGTTCATTGGTCTTTTTAGTTTAATTTGATGCCCCGTTTTATTTTATGATTAATTATTATTAAAAAATTAATAAATTTCCAATGTATTATTTTCATGAATTTTATTTTATATTTATTTTTATTTTTATTTTATTTTCTTAATAATTTTATTGATTTTTATGATTTTTATGATTTTATGAATTTTTATGAATTTTTTTAATTCTTATCGATTGACATTGGTCTCATGAGAGCGTGTCGTTCTGACCAATTATTTCATTATCTCACTTATTAGTTAGCCGATTGGATTCCTCAACAAACTCCGGATGGTGTCATATTTTATTATAACACCCGAACGGGTGAATCATCCTGGGAATTACCCATAGAAGATAACGATAAGCAAATGGACGATAATTCTACAGCACGTGATTCCAGTAATTATACTGGAACTGGTGTCTCTTCACATTCTAGCACTGTTAGTTCTTTTCTAAAACAGAGACCGTTACCGGAAAATTGGATACAACAACCTACTGAAGATGGTAATACATATTATTACCTCAATACGGTAACTCAAGAGATTAGATGGACTTACCCTGGTGATGAAATCACTTCTGGCAATTCTGATGTTGTTGATGATAAAGATGATGAGATTGGTGTTATAGAAAGGGAAGTTATCGATGAAGATGCCGATAGGGAAAGTATCACTAGTTCAAAGGATAGTAGATTAAGTACTGGCACTACTGGTACCATTCAACCAATACAACAAGAACCTACCAATGAAAAGGTATATATATTCATTTCATTCTTTTACCGTATTCTTCGTGAAATAACGCCCATGGTCGTTATTTCGATGTATATTATTTTAAAGAGAACTGATAATTAATTTGGTCAAATATTTTTAAAAATTAAAAGTTATGATTCGTATTCGGTTAAATTAATTATTAGTTCTCTTTAAATTGGTTTTAAATCAGGCTCCGAGGCGTTATTTCGCGCAAATATTGGTACTATCTTATATTCATTCGATTATGCTCATTTGTTTATTTCTTTTACATAGCTTCCACCTGGTTGGGATAAGAAAACTACACCTCAAGGAAAAGTTTATTATTATAATGAAACGACCGAAGAGACTACTTGGAGTCTTGATAATATTGGTGAAGATGGTCTTCTGGTAAAATATCGAATTTAGTTTACTTAATTTTTTAAATTTATGATTAGATTTATTAATTCTATCTTTTTTAGATTAAAACTAATGATGAAAAGGTTTGTGATCGATTCATCTTTTTGTTTTTTGTTATACGTTGTTTATATGATTTTCATATTTATAATTTTATTTTTATTTTATTTTTTTTTTTAGCTTCCGCCTGGTTGGGGTAAAAAAATTTCTCCTAGAGGAAAAGTCTATTACTTTAATGAGACTACCCAAGAGACTACTTGGAGTATTGAGAATATAAATGGAGATGGTCTTCTGGTAAAATATTATTTTTAAGTTACTTAAGTTCTTACTTTATGATAAGATTCATATTAATGTCTTTTTTTTTAGTCTAAAACTGATGACGATACTGTGCCTTCTGGTGCCGGTGTTGGATATGGCGATGAAGCTCCAGCTGATCCTCTACCTCCTCCTCCTCCTCCTATTACTACTGCAACATTACCTTCTTTTCAAAAAAATACTGATCAGTATGTTCTTATTATGCAGAATAATGAACCATGCACTTGGGACTCGTTATCTGCCACTGTTTATTCAGCGATTAATAATTTAACTGTGGCGGCGCGAGAAAATTTGAAACAAGAATATCAAATTTGTACGAACGCTATTGTTGAAAGTATTCGTATCATGCTTTACGCTTCTGGTACCGTCGAGAAAGAGTCCCCGATTATTCGTCAAAACAGGACTTTAAAAACTTATCACAGACATATAATGGCTTCTCTCTCAAAATTGGTCCTTTCTACAAAAGTTGCTTCTAGTGTTTGGCCTCCACCTGATGCTGCTCAAAAAATGAAGAACGACGCTGATGAAGTTTTGGTCTCTGTTCGTCAATTCGTTCAAGCTGCTGAACATACTGTGGATATTAAACCTATTGATCCTAAAATTACTGAGAGTGCTACTGGTGGTTCTTGGCGTGGTAATAATCTGGCTACGTTTGGTCCTAATGGTAAAAGGATCCCAGCTCCTTCTATATCATCAAGCATTAGCTCTCAGGATAGTACTGATTCATCCGGCCCTTCTCGTTCCTTGACTCCAGACATTTTGGCCTCATTAGAACATTCTTCTCGTACCATTTCAAAAGCTATTATGTTAATAAATAATCTTATTAGAAAGCATACTGAAATACCTCAATCTTCTGTACCTGGTAATAATGCTGGGTTTGCGCCACAACTTGTGACTCAGACACGCCAGGTTGTTACACATGTTGGTCAATTTTTATCTACGGTTGAAGATATTAATTTAGAGGATTTAGATGAAACTAGTCAAGATTCTATAAAGGAATTTAAAATTGCAAAACAAGCTCTATATAATAATATTGCTGGTTTGGTTATTTGTGCACAAAACGCAACCGATCCGTCTCTCAAATCTAGTATAATGGACCATGTTCAAATTTCTGCTAATGTAGTTGAAAAGGCCGTAAAAGATGTAATCATTGCTGCAAAGTTCCTTATGGAAGAAAAGGATACGCAAGATCAATTGAGAATTCAAATGCGTACTCCTCGACATTCAAATTCTTCCGAAATATCGCCGACTAATTTGCGTACGAACTCGATTGAATATGACGCGAATGATGTCATTGAAGATGCAGAAATTATTGATAATCAAAATGTCAAGCCTATTAGTTCTCCTCCAGCAACGATTCAAACCGGTTTACAAACTGTACCTGAAGATGATGTTATGACTACTGACTCACCCACTGTCATAACTGATTCAAATACAATAGATGACTCTGATAAAGTGCCAACGTCCCCAATTTCTGATGGTTCTTCTATGACTGGTGGTCGTTCATTTATGAGCGGTTCAAGTAGTCAACTTCGTGAAGATTCATCATCAATTCAATCTTATGGTTCATCTCAACGTACAAATTCTCAACCTATTGTTCAGACTGATTATCAAAGATCATCATCTCCTCCATTATCTAATAATCCAGGTGGTACTAGATCACCACGTAGTGAGAGTAGTAAAGTCGCAAAATTCTTTGGTGAAGATGTTCAGTCTATAAATCAAACGCGTGTAACACGTGAAGATAAACCTTGGTTCCTTAAATATGATTACGAAGAAGCTGAAATAATTTTCAATATGGAAAAGCATGTTAAGGGTGGTACTCTAAATGCTTTAGTAGAAAGATTAACGATGCACGATTTACTTGATTCAAGTTTTATAGCGACTTTCTTGTTGACATATCGTTCATTCTGTACTACTGAACAATTCTTTGATATGTTGACAAAACGTTTCATGATTCAGTCTCCTGATAATTTAGCACCTGAGCAATTAGAAATGTGGCAAGAGAAGAAACAAACACCTGTGAGATTAAGAGTTTTTAATATTATGAAGAGTTGGTTGGAGAATTATTATATTGATGATAAAGATTCTTATTGTTTGGAACGTATACGCGAATTCGCGCAAACTACAATGCATGAACACATGGCTTTTGCGGCAGTGAGTTTGATAAAAGTCATTGATAAAAGGGTATTTATTTTTTTTTTATAATCTATGTAATTTTATATTATAACCTTTTTTACAATAATAAATTGGTTTACTGTATATATAGTTACAACAACGAAAAGACGCTGTCTTTAAAGAGATGATTCCTAATAACACAATGTTACCTCCACCTTCAATCAAACCAAAAAATCTGAAAAAAATTAAATTTTTGGATTTGGACCCATTAGAAATTGCAAGACAATTAACTATAATAGAGGCTAAGCTTTACAATAAAATTAGACCAGTTGAATGTTTGAACAAGGCATGGAGCAAAGAAACTAAAGAAGGTGAAGATGGTGGTGATGGCGAAGAAGTAGCCGTAAATATCAAAGCCATGATTGTAAACAGTAATCAGGTAAATATAAAATTTCAATAATTAATTAATAATTAATTATTTATTATTAATTAATGTTTAATTTTTGATACTGTTTACATTCTTGAATATTAGATCACTGGATGGGTAGCTGAATCCATTCTTAATCAGAAAGAAATTAAAAAGCGATGCGCTTTAATTAAACATTTTGTTGCAGTAGCTGATAAATGTAGACAATTAAATAATTTTAATTCTTTAACGGCAATTATCTCCGGTCTTAATTCCGCACCAATTCATCGTCTTAAGCGAACATGGGAGATGGTAAACGCACGAACAATACAAACGCTCGATAACCTTAATAGAATCATGAACTCTACAAAGAATTTCTTTGATTATAGAGAAATGTTACATAGCGTAAATCCACCTTGCGTACCATTTCTGGGTAAGGTTAATCCAAAATGTTTTGAAAAAAAGATTTGAAATTTGACATACGATATTAATATGATATTAATATAATATTCGTAATATATTAACACGATTATAATTATTTATTTCAGGTGTTTATTTAACTGATCTAACTTTTATTGAAGACGGTAATCCGGATATTCTTAAAAAAAATCAACAATTAATTAATTTTTCAAAACGAATGAAAACTGCTGATGTGATACGTGAAATTCAGCAGTATCAATCTGTACCATATAATCTTACACCTGTACAAGAAATTCAAATTTTCATTCAGAGTCATTTGCAAGATAGTAGAGATGTTAGCGATTTATATAGTACAAGTTTGGATATGGAGCCAAGGTAATCTTTCATTTTTATTATTAATGTATTGTAGAAACACATAGTATACATATATATATACACCTCCACAATAAAATTAGAATCTGTATAATTTTTCATGGACTTAATTTTAGTTGAACTTGTTAAATTATACATTTTTGAAAATATCTTTGACAATATACTAAACATAGATTTGACTTATGGAAAAAAATCAACATATTTTTGATTTTTTCATTACAGGGAACGAGAGGATGAAAAAATTGCAAGATTATTACAAGAAAGCGGTTTCCTATAACGAAACCATTCTTGGATTTTCATATCTTCCTTAACAATTACCCATCAATTACCTTTATGGCTCTGATCATCTTCGATTGTTAATCAGTTGAATGATCGTGGATTTTTCTTCTTTTTTTTTATGTCTAAAAATATACTATAAATCACGCGAAACTTAATTCTTATTTTTAAAAAAAAAATTTTAATGCCTAAGATTTAAAATATAAAGAAAAAATCGCGTGTTGTTAAATTTTATGCAAACATATATATATGTATATATATATAAACTTATTATTCATATAATTATATATTATGCAAATAAATTTTTTGTAGATTTTTTCTTCCTTTAAATATCATTTTTTTAAATATATATATCGAATTCCTTAAACCCTTTTTTTTTTTTTTTTTTTTTAGCGGAAACTGAAAATAAGAGTTATATGTGTATCAATATTAATAAAATATGTCAACTTTTTCATAACTTGTGCCAATTTTATAATTATCTTAAGTGTGTAATTGCAAAAGTATCAGCATGGTTAGAATTATCTTAAGTGTGTAATTGCAAAAGTATTCAGCATGGTTAGAATAAATTCATCAACGGAATCCGAGTACATACGAGAATTGTAAAGGCAATACAGTATGCCAATTAAAAAATGATTGACACATATTATCGTTTATAGATTCAGTTCTATAGGGTAAGGTGGTCACTTTATCGTTATCAATTATTAAATTGTATATATGCACAACGACATCTATTAAAGTGAGTACGAAAAGCATTGTTAGGATTCAGCGTTAATAAAGCGAACAATATTTATGTATGTGCCAGATAATAGCTTCCTGGGAAGCTCACGTTTATAATCTCATTCCATTATATATAGCGATATTGTTTATTACTTCACTGCTATTTGAGCTTCTTATACGTTACGATGCGTACTTCGATTTTTATTTTTCTTACCTTTTTTTTTTTAAAAAAAAATAAATATAAAATATAAAAACGAGAATCCAACGACTAATGCAAATGATTAAGTTCACTTTTTTTCGCGTTCATCAATTATTATATATACTCTTTAATAACAATAACCAAATTCATGTAATTAATTGCGCATAATTTGTGTAAGATTTAAATGAATCTGATGTTACATCATTTTATATTAGGCACATTTATTTTATTTATTTGCATCTTTTAAGCATCAGATTAATGATGCCACAGATTTCACAAAGAATCTCGATAAAAATTTTTTTTTGATAACATTAAACAATTTTAAACATGATATAGCTTTATGGTTTAAAACTTCGGCTTCTAGCCTTCGAAGTTGCTGCTATGTACGTATCGAAACAAGATGTGTTGTAGATTATCGTTAGTTAATAAAAAATAAGATTTAAAACTCGAGCATGTCGCCGATTACCTTTATACGGATGATAATGTGTAGTACATATAGCCCCTGGAGATTTTAAACTAACCCAGTGAGTTTCGAATGTATTCAAACGAAAATCTTTATAGTTAAGATTTCCGGGTATATTATTAACGATGTTACTCAAACTATTTGGGGTGACCCAAGATTTGTGATAATTAGTTCTCCCACAATAAATGCGTATGCATGCACGCTCGTACATGCTTACATTGCTAAGTGCATGAATAATCATATATCGATATTATACTGCATATTCTGGATCATCCCAAGCAGATTAGATAATAATTAAATAATCCAAATAATCCGAAAATTGCTAGTATCTCAAAATTTTACCTAAGATACCGTCAAATAAGAAATTCTTTGGCAAAACTGTCTTCCTCGGCTCTAACTAATTTCAGCTTTAACGTTTAAAACTTTATCGTTCTAGTTTCGCGAATAACGTCAAGCCAATGGTAATATATTCACGTGATTATCATGACTCTCAATAACAAAATAATAGAAATGCAGTAATCGTTACAACATGAAAAGTTACGTCAAACCTGTTCTAAAAATAAAACGTAATTAAGCACAACTTGGCTCTTATCGTGGAAGTAAATTTACTACAAAAAAGTAATAAGATGCGTTGTAAATAATTCTGAGGGATGACAGCAATTAGGTGAATGTAAACATAAATTATTAATTAATATTTGTTAAGTATCGCCCATCACTGTATTTGGACAAATAATAATACACTTTATGATCTTTGCATGCTGTGCATATATTATTTTTCTACTACATATCAATACGTACGTTCATAATTAAAAAAAGGGTCCAACCTGTAATATTTTATACATCACAGTAAGTATGATCTCATCGCGTAATTTATTACAATGACATAAGATTATATATTTTCAAGAAATCACACTTGTAGGAGAAAACATAATTTCATTATGTGTTTTGCTAAAAACTTTCCAGTAATAAGGTGAGCTACTTTTCCAGTTGCACTCCATTTTTTACGGGCATCAAATCAGTAAGTGTAATAAACAGGTACGGCATGTGCCGTATTATTCGCCGTAATTACTTTGTGCCGTAATGCCGCAATGCCGTAATGCCGTAATGTTGTTATATTGAAATACCATAATGCTGTTGTATCTAAATATTATAATGCTATTACAGTAAAAAAATGTGTTAAAGATAACGCACAGTAAATTTACTGGTTTGTGAATAGATAATCATCGTAGTGAAAAATCTTAATTTTTTTTTTTTTTTTTACTGTTCGGTCAAGGATATTTCTTATAGCTGGAGTAAAGTTGGTTTTCGAATTATCCTAAGATAAAAAAGACTTGTTATTGGGTGTTTAAAAATTCCTAAATTGTTCCAAATTATCCTAAACTGTTAACTAATGCGAAAGCAATTAACGATTGACGTAAATGCTCAAGATCTACAAAGTAGTTATTATTCATGATTAAGTTGGGAACAGTAAAGCAAGTTATGATATATTTCAGTCATAGGTGATGATGGAATAATTATGGTTGGTCATTAATTTAAAGAAATCGGTGTTAAAAAGAATGAACACAAAAGCGTTCAAATATTATCAAAAATCTGATAGTAACTTAATTTTAACAAAGATAACATGATATACAGTATAATTGATAATTATTATCTAACTATATATAATTTAATTTTTATTTTAATTCCACTAATATCGATACAAGAAATTAATAAATAAATACTCGCAGGTATTGTATTTGGAGGATATATTATATTAAATTTTATATAAATCAATATACGTATTTTGCAGAAACCTTTGATTTTGCTAAATATGTTTACTATATAATAAAAATATAATTAAAATATATATTAAAACATAATTAAAATATTTTTATTCTGTTAAGTTACTTATCATATTGCTATGTATATATTAAGATACTCTTTGCTAAAATCGTTCATTTTTGTGATAGCGGCAAAATATTCTAGATCTAGTGCATGTTATTAATAATATAAGTCGCCAAGAGGAAATTTTCATAGCAAATCGCAAATTTAGGCAAATTAGTTTCTTACTAGTACTATTAACGAGGCTTTAACGAGGCTTTTTGACGGAGTATGAAAAATTAGTAATTTTCTATACTCCGTCAAAAAACCTCGTTAATAGTGATAGTAAGAAACTAAATTTGCCTAACTTTGCGATTTTCTATGAAAATTGGTGACCTATATTATTAATAACATGCACTAGATCTAGAATATTTTGTCGCTATCGCGAAAATGAACGATTTTAGCAAAGTAATTATTTTAAACAGATCGCTATTATATTATATTTATTGTGTTACATAGCTATTCAATTATATATGTATTATTGCATTATTACAATACAAAGAAAAATACTATATGAGTGCTGCCAAGGGAAAATCTGTCATCGGACTTTAAATTATATTTTAGCCGTCTATGGAAAATCTATCATAATAATAGAATTTTCATAGATAGCTAACTGTACACAAATATAATTGAAGGTGGTTTTCCTTTGGCGGCACTCATATATATTACGTATTATGTATAGTATTATGGCATTATGGCACATAATATTTACTGCAATTAGGTAATTAATTCTACGTACCATATGGCAGAATGCCGTAATTCAGTAATTCTACCGCCAACAGATCGGTCAAACTTTTTTCAAGCAACTCCTAATAAGTATAGATATTATGCGCAGTGCAATATCTCGTGACCCACTGGTACCATCTCAGTAAGACGAATTCGAATCTAATCAAGGTATTGCCAATATACCACAATATACTAACAATATAATACTGTAAAAACAAAAGTTACCGTAAACTGCCATACACAAGAACCGGGTCTAATTCATTTTACCAATTTTAAAACCTATAATTAGACCCGTGGGTCTCTTGAATGGGTGTGAGTCTGATAATTGGGGTTTATTCTATTTTATTGGTTTTTTCCTATTTGTATACCCAGCTTTATCCCATGTTGTAGACCCGGGTATAGTACATGGGATCTGATGTCTGGGGTAGCTTATGGTAATTTTGTATCGTACACGATCATTAATAACTCGTGACCCTGTGATCAAAATTAAACAATTTTGACACCTCGATGAGACAAATGGAATGGATTAGATCACTAGTTATGCCAAATTTACTCTTAATTACTATACTTATAATATTAAAATGATCATATCTTGAAATCTAGCAATCAAAATTGGATGATTTTTATATCATTCAATTCGTCTCATTGAGACGAATCGATTGATGGTAAAATCATTCGAACCTGATCACTAGATCTTGAGATATTGTTGATGCATTATAAATACCCCTATTGCACATATTACACTTTAAAATTTTGTGTGCATATTGTTATAGAACGAATTAAATAATAGTTTATTATTTTATTATTTATTATTATCTTAGAATATTATTATTATCTTGTATTATTATTAACATGTTGCTTAGTCGCTTAGTCACTCAGTCGCTTAGTCGCTTAGTTGCTTAGTCGCTCAGTCGCTTAGTCGCTCAGTCGCTTAGTCGCTTAACTATATGGTCACTTAGTCGCTTAGTTGCTTAGTTGCTCAGTCGCTTAGTCGCTTAGCTCACAGATATATAAACCTTACTAATTTCCCCAAGTT